ATATAATATTATTTCATTTTATTGCAATTTAATATAACATAATTTGATTTTGTATAATATGATATATATATAATGCAATATATTATGATATAATAGAATGATATGGTTTAATATAATAACATAATATAATAATATATAATAAAACAATGTATATATATATATATATGCATACATGTATACATCTTTGTATGTAGTATAGTGTCTACTGTACACTGTATACTGTCGGCTGTATATGCGTATAAGTGTAAAACATGTATTCACCCAAAATTTGAAAACACCCCGTTCATGTCACCTCATGTCATCGTCTGTGACTTAAGGCATGCAGATAGGGTGTTTTCTGTTTGTGTACTTCAGACCAAAGGAAGACCTGTGCAAGTAAGTACTCCCAGATCTCCACCCTTTCAGGTTTCGTTCAATCACCATTTTTCTAGTTACTTCCTGGTTTAATCGCAATTTTTTCTGAGTTCAATCACATAGTTTGCTGCTTCGATCACTATTTCTGCTACTTTAATCACCGTTTCTGTGAGAGAAACGCGAGCAATTTCAGGGCAGTTCTTCCAAATCACAGGTGCCCTTAGATTACTTAGCTGGTGAGTAGTACCATTCGGTGGATGGGGCGACCCTCCAGGTAGGTGCACCGGGGTTCGATAGATGTGGACCCACATTCTTGAGGGTTACATCAGTTATACCCCAATTTTGATGGAATTTTATGCTACTCTCCCATTGTTTCAACGTCTTGCTCCGAATTTTGGATGGTTAGACCCAGATGTTTTCACTACTTTGGACCCACGCAACCGTTGCTGTCCGAGGTTGCTTGCGGCCAGAGAAATCAATTACATCCCCTCGTTGTCTGTTGACGCGGTCGAACGCGCCATGTTGTATGCGGCCATTCTGGTGGCAGGTGAGGGGAGCGGATATCTCACGACCAGTTATCCCATGCCCCTCATCATAGCATTATCCTGGTGATAATTTGGATTTTAAAAAACATATATTATGTGATAATGATTATCAAAAAATATAAATGTGGCGGGAAATACCATCCCCAGTCATCATCATTTTGATCATCCCAAGTGGTAGGTTTATGGCAGCCAGGCTTTACCACATAAGAATGAGGTGAAATAGTGATGACAATAGTAGACAAGGATTATATGTAGTGATAAGAAGAAAGTGATGAAACAAATCACATCATTAGTATCATCATAATAGCAGAAAAAATAACAGAAATAATCATGGGAACACCAACAAAAACAATAACAGAACCAATAGCAGAAACATTAACAGACACAAGAACAGAAACAAAAACAGAAACAATAACAGAAACAATAACAGAAACAATAACAGAAACAATAACAGAAACAGTAACAGAAACAACAACAGAAACAACAACAGAAACAGTAACAGAAACAACAACAGAAACAACAACAGAAACAACAACAGAAACAACAACAGAAACAACAACAGAAACAACAACAGAAACAACAACAGAAAGAACAACAGAAACAACAACAGAAAGAACAACAACAGAACAACAACAGAAACAACAACAACAGAAACAACAACAACAGAAACAACAACAACAGAAACAACAACAACAGAAACAACAACAACAGAAACAACAACAACAACAACAGACAACAGAAACAACAACAACAGAAACAACAACAACAACAACAGAAACAACAACAACAGAAACAACAACAACAGAAACAACAACAGAAACAACAACAAAACAACAACAGAAACAACAACAACAGAAACAACACCAACAGAAACAACACCAACAGAAACAACACCAACAGAAACAACAACAACAGAAACAACAACAACAGAAACAACACCAACAGAAACAACAACAACAGAAACAACACCAACAGAAACAACAACAACAGAAACAACAACAAAAACAACAAAAACAAAAACAACAACAACAACAACAGAAACAACAACAGAAACAACAACAGAAACAACAACAGAAACAACAACAGAAACAACAACAGAAACAACAACAGAAACAACAACAGAAACAACAACAGAAACAACAACAGAAACAACAACAGAAACAACAACAGAAACAACAACAACAGAAACAACAACAACAGAAACAACAACAGAAACAACAACAACAGAAACAACAACAACAGAAACAACAAACAGAAACAACAAACAGAAACAACACCAACAGAAACAACAACAACAGAAACAACAACAACAGAAACAACAAACAGAAACAACAACAACAGAAACAACAACAGAAACAACAACAACAGAAACAACAACAGAAACAACAACAGAAACAACAACAGAAACAACAACAGAAACAACAACAGAAACAACAACAGAAACAACAACAGAAACAACAACAGAAACAACAACAGAAACAACAACAGAAACAACAACAGAAACAACAACAACAGAAACAACAAACAGAAACAACAACAACAGAAACAACAACAACAGAAACAACAACAACAGAAACAACACCAACAGAAACAACAACAACAGAGACAACAACAAAAACAACAATAACAACAGCAACGGAAACAACAACAACAGAAACAACAACAACAGAAACAACAACAGAAACAACAACAACAGAAACAACAACAACAGAAACAACAACAACAGAAACAACAACAACAGAAACAACAACAACAGAAACAACAACAGAAACAACAACAGAAACAACAACAACAGAAACAACAACAACAGAAACAACAACAACAACAACAACAACAGAAACAACAACAGAAACAACAACAGAAACAACAACAGAAACAACAACAGAAACAACAACAACAACAACAGAAACAACAACAGAAACAACAACAGAAACAACAACAGAAACAACAACAGAAACAACAACAGAAACAACAACAGAAACAACAACAACAACAACAACAACAGAAACAACAACAACAGAAACAACAACAACAGAAACAACAACAACAGAGACAACAACAACAGAGACAACAACAACAGAGACAACAACAACAGAGACAACAACAACAGAGACAACAACGGAGACAACAACGGAGACAACAACTGAAACAACAACGGAAACAACAACGGAAACAACAACGGAAACAACAACGGAAACAACAACGGAAACAACAACGGAAACAACAACGGAAACAACAACGGAAACAACAACGGAAACAACAACGGAAACAACAACGGAAACAACAACAGCAACAGCAACAGCAACAGAAACAACAGCAACAGAAACAACAACAACAGAAACAACAACAACAGAAACAACAACAACAACAGAAACAACAACAACAGAAACAACAACAACAGAAACAACAACCACAGAAACAACAGCAACAGAAACAACAACAACAGAAACAACAACAAGAGAAACAACTACAAGAGAAACAACAACAACAAGAGAAACAACAACAACAAGAGAAACAACAACAACAAGAGAAACAACAACAACAAGAGAAACAACAACAACAAGAGAAACAACAAGAGAAACAACAACAACAAGAGAAACAACAACAACAAGAGAAACAACAACAACAAGAGAAACAACAACAACAAGAGAAACAACAACAACAGAAACAACAACAACAACAACAACAACAACAACAACAACAGAAACAACAACAACAGAAACAACAACGACAACAGAAACAACAACGACAACAGAAACAACAACAACAACAGAAACAACAACAACAACAGAAACAACAACAACATAAACAACAACAACAGAAACAACAACAACAGAAACAACAACAACAGAAACAACAACAACAGAAACAACAACAACAGAAACAACAACAACAGAAACAACAGAAACAACAGAAACAACAACAACAACAGAAACAACAACAGAAACAGAAACAGAAACAGAAACAACAACAACAACAACAACAACAGAAACATCAGAAACAGAAACAGAAACAGAAACAGACACAACAACAACAACAACAACAACAACAACAGCAACAGGAAAAAAATGGAACTCATCTTTGTGGATCAACGGTAAAAGTGAGAATGAAATCATCTCCATGCGCTTTCTTTTTCAATTCACCATCCGAAATAGGAAGATCAACATCTGGGGGTTTCCATGGGGATACTCCAATATGGATGGTCTATAATGGAAAATCCCCAACATAAATGGATGATAACTGGGGGTAGCCCCATTTTAGGAAACTTCCTTATCGAGTATGTTGACCACAGAGTTCCCCACGGAACGATCCCCTCACAAAGTGAGAGGCTTGGCCCTATCATCTGCATATCGTGTGGACCATCAGTCCTGGAAACCCAGTGGAGTGGGTGGAGAAAACTCATGAGCTTTCTGAAATTCAGCAACAAAAAGGGTGTAAAACCCGAACCTGGGGATATGAACCCAAACTCATGGTAAACTTTGTTTTTCTTCAAAAAATTGTTTTTTTTAGGAGAGAGATTGGGAAGAACATCAGTAAGCTTCGCCAGAAGGTTGAGTTGTTTCGAGCCATTGGGGTTGCGGAACGCACGTATCATCAAAGGTTGATAAACCACGTATGAAACTGGGGTATATTGGCATCCTCCTGTAAAACTGGGTTAAAGTATGTTTTTTACCCACCCAAGAAACCCACTTAGCAAATGGGATCCACATCTATGGTCTATGGCCAACTCCAGTTCAAAACTCATCTTCCTATCTTCCAAGGGTCCCATTGTTGATTGAAAACATGGGGTGTCTGAACACAGCATATGTATTGTATACATATACTGTTTACACACGTAGATATGTACAATATCAATACCTATATATATATATATACCTATCCCTGAAATGCTCACAATCCGAAACCGGCAGTTGCATGCAATTTTACAAGAAAGTGCTGAAGACAGTTTGATTTCGGCCGCAGGTTGGACCGCAAATTGGTGACCCAACCAGCGCAGCTTGCGGCCCCCGGACCCTTAGGGCGTTGTCAGTGCCATGACCGGGGTGCGGCGAAGCTGGGGGGTTAAAAAGAATCTTTTTGGCAAATGGATCCGCATTTTGAAGAGGTGAAACATTTTTGCAGGGCCAGCTTTGTTGCAGTGGATGAATGGCTCATGGGGTTGGAACTCGTAAACTGGCGCTTGCTGAGAAGTTGACTGCGCTCAGGCCTCATTTATAAGCACTGTACAGATCTGTGACATTTCCAGACAGTTACTGAGGTACTCCGCGGCACCTTCTGCCGTGGAAAGTGGCCGGCCCTATCATGACAGTGCCTTGGTGGCCTCTCAACGGGCAATCGGGGTGTTGAAACCTCGTTAGGTCCAAGTTGTTCACCTGGGATTCCGCCTTTGTTGCGATGAACATCTCTATTCTAAACCAGCCATAATAATTATCAGTATAGAAATTTGGTAAATATCGTACCCAAATGGTAGGTTTATGGCAGTGGGGTGAAGCCCACATGAACCAACCGCTGAGTCAGTAGCGACTGCGGAGTCCAGCGTGGAGACTTTGTCTATTTCTTAGTATACAGTGAATATATATATAACATAGATATAATTGCCAGTTAATATGTATCTATTCGTATAACAAACACTATACATAATATCTATACATAGTTCCGGTGATCCTTAACTATCCTTCATTGGAGGCTCATTGCCCCATTTGCCGAGGTCTGGTGGCCCTTTGCCCCAACAATTCATTGACCGAGAAGTGCGTCAAGGAAGCCAAGAGCAGCGCCGCAATGGTTCTGGTGACTGGGATCCAAAGGTTGACCGAAGTGGTGGTTCTTTTCATTATGATCTTCATTTGGTCAATGTTGGTTTGTATATCCCCTAATATCTGCCATAGGTATTATATAGTATATATTTCAATATAAGCGATAAGCAACAAGATGAACCCTGGAGTTGTGCCAAGTGCCACTATCCCTTCCCAACAACAGTCATGTAAAAGGCAGCTAAAGAGTTGATAGGGTTGATGTTTAGTCGAACCCGATCTCAGCCATTTGTTGGCGAGCAAAAAGAACCCTAGGTTGTCGACACTGATGTGCTTGGTGTTGGAAACTGCGAATCCCTCTGCAATGAGTTACTTGGCCCGTTGATTTAAGCATTTGAGAAGGTTTGAAGACCCATGGAGACCCCAAGCTCTTTCCTAGTGGAGACGCATAGCCACGCATACCATCCCATGGTGCTTTGCAATGTGTAACTACCCGCTCTCACGAACTCTTTGGCATGTTTCGTGTGCTTTAAGGCTGCGTTAGGAACTTTTCAAAGCCAGCGGGGATGGGAATTAAGGAGATACTCAGCCCTATTTTCCTTTGTTCATATTGAAGCCATGGAATCCAACATAGGCAAAGCGACATGTCGATTAGTGGTGAATTGCTGCTTGTAAATATCAACCTACCAATGGAGGAATGCAGCAGTCAGCCATGGCAAAACCAGAAGATCCACGGATACCTATTGATCTCTCTCTCTCTCTCTCTCTCTCTCCCTCCATATACATTGAGGGCCCACCATCAAGAATGCATTTTTCATATGCGGATGCGGCCCCAAAAGGGGGCCCTGGCGGCAGCGCCGTTTGAGCACAAGCCGACTGACAGCCAAACGCATTCTCCACTACCGAACTGTAAGGAAACCAATTGCAGCGGATTATGTTTGGGAAGGCATGTGGCTCGAAAACAGGCAAGGGGTGTAGAACCCCATGCGGACAAACTCCAAGGAGACCACGCTACCCGAAACTATTGCTCCTCGCTCCCATCTGTGATTACGCCCGTCGTACGTCCAGCTACGCCTCTCAAACCCGAATGTAAATAAGGGATTACGTCCTTCCCATCTGTTGTTACGCCCCTCGTACGTCTGATTACGCCCCTCAAACCCGCATGTAAATAAGGGATTACGTCCCTTTTAGCGCTTTGGCCGTATACTATAGTATATTGAAAAGCGCGCGGGATGCACGGCAACAAGTGCACGCCACACACTTCTCCCAAGATGCACGCAAAACAGCTTCCTGACATAAGCGTTGTAAAGGCGGCACACTTTCAGAGCGCAAGAGGTTAGCATGGCTTCTTGTGGCCCCGGGAAGTGGACCTTTTCACTGATTCAAAACAGCTTCTGCGCAATGGTATTATACGGATGTGTGTGTCCATGGCGGCTTGCATTGCAGAAGGAAGGCTGGCGCCAGCAAATGGACGAAATCCGGGCCATCAGGACCGTCAAGCAGCTCTGTTTGCTCTTTCGTGGTCCCAAAAATGGGGCCAAAAACCCGCCCCAAAAACAGGGCCGCAGTATTCCCGGAAGAAGGAAAGGCTTTGGGCTTGACAAAGCCTCACCAAGTTTCACAGTATGTATGTATGTATGTATATATATATATATATTGACCAACCGGTTTTGCCTTTGTTTTTATTTGCTTTTTGTTGCTTCCCGCTGAGGAATTATGGGATGGTATACGATGAGAACCATTTTTATCGGCGCTTGAAATTCTGCAAGGGCTATGTGGTGCGCCATCCCTTCAACGAAGGTATAGAGAAGGCGGTGAACAGAAAAGCCGGTGGGATGTTTTTGAGCTGATTGCTGATGCCAGTGATGGCTTATATCGATACAGTTATATAATACATAGATGTATACTACAACATATATATATATTTATACATGAGATGTGTAACCCAAGCGGGGCTACCCATCTTCCAATCACTTTCCCTTTTTCTGCGGCCGTGGGCCTGGGGGACCTGGGAACAGAAAGCCCAGGGCAAGGCACAATGTTGGCTGATTCACGGAGATGCCCGAATGAGCAAGACCTTCAAATCGAAAGTGAAAATTGCTTCGTGGCACCTGTTCAGACGGTGCGAAATAACATTTCAATGGAGGTGAAGATATGTCAGAGATGTGAAGTTTTTTTGTTTTTATAAGGGGCCGTTATGTCCATACGCATATCCTTAGGAGCTGAAACACCTATCGGCTCTTTCGAGGACACATGTTCAGCTATGTTATGTTTCTTTAGCCTTGAACCAGGATATTGAATAGCACATCTAAACCTGCAAAGAATTCGCCATCCTATCCCATCTGGTCTTAGATCAGATCTGTTTGGTGCATCAATGCCATGGACAGCACACGTGCATACACGTCATGTGTCCTCATATGTCATCGTCATTGTCATCGTCGTCATCATTATTGTGATCAGTATCATCATCACGATCATCATCATTATCACCATCATAAACATGATACAATGCATCTTGACACATCGTCACACATCGTCGTACAGAGTGATACATGAGCATAAATCACAACGTTCGGTACGCCACTCAACAAAACAAACTTGACATATCTCTTGTTTGCTTTAGCACTAGACACTTCGCTTTGGTGTGACTTAGTTTTGGACGACTTGCAACGCACTGCAGGATCCAAATGAGTGTCAAAGCATGGGGTATGCCCAGTATACCCCCAGCTATTTTCCCTGCACATGAGAGATATTTTAGAGTGGATTTGGGGTTCCGAGAGGTTCTGGTAAACATGCTGGTCGTCCCCACGCTCCATTCGAACTAAGGAGCGCAGCACCTTGTTGGATGGCAGAAACAACAAGATCACTCACCACAAGGCTCGGGTCTGCTAGATCGCCTGCTAAGGATCACACGCACACATACACACACTTGAAAGACCGAACATCGTATGGAGTCCTGATTGGTCCACCGGATTTGTTTGTCTTTCTTGTCAGTTCAATGACATTTGGAAATGAAATTCCAGAAAGACCTTGCGCCGCGTGACTAAGTCACTGATGGAAAACACATGATTGGGGTTCTTGGCTGAGCCCCTTGCCATAGCAGAAAATCCTAATCGAAGATTAAAATGCAAACCTAAAACGGCCTTACGGAACAACAGGTAACCGTTCGCAGGTACGTAGATCAAGCGTCCTTGATTCATATCCTTGCCACATGTCACTCATCTTCGTTGGCAGAGGAAGTGACATGGGCACCTCTGCCCCCTGCTTTTTTGAAAAACAATTAATCTCCTCAAAACGTCAGGAAGAATCAAATATCTCTTGGATACAGGGTGTGACTCCCCACACACACACACACACGAAGGCTGTTTTTTTTACCAAAAACCATGGTCACAATCTGTAATACACTTGTTCAGACACGAAGAGCGGAGAAAACGTCTTGTCGATCAAAGCCTTTCTGTACACAGAGGCCTGCTAACGCAAAAAGACTAGCCGGAATCAGATCCGGTGGGTGCGTGCAGCCCGGCTTTTTAGTGCACTCACTCTGAGCCAGGCAGATCCCGCAGATACGCAATCTCGTATTTGGCGCCAATCATGGTGGTCTATATTGAACAGTTCTTTCAGCCACATTTACAGAGAAACTCAGAGAAAGCCAAAAGTACGTCATTATCAACAACCTCAAGCTCAACCGGCGGACCAGAAAGTCCAAATCACACAATGTGAGCAAACCAGGATGATGTTTGGTTTCCTCCGAAGCAATGACGCACCTGTTGTCCACATATCTGATACCAAAAGGCATAATGTGGTTGATTGAGGCTCTCAGAATACAGTCACAGCAAGATTTGAAAGAGAAGGAGAAATCTGGCTGCCAATGCCAGCTCCACGGATTTGCTTCCAAAAGCATCCAAAAGCGGAGAAAAATATGAGACGAAAGGCCAGATCGAACGACTGTAAAGATGCCCTTGACATAGATCTTCTTGAGGTTGTAAGCTGATTTCCGAACGATCCCCAAAAAGTTGACTGAATCGGATCGTCTTTGGTGCTAAATGCCTCCCGTTATGGTGACAGAATCAGGATCAGGAAAATGAATTCAATGTTCATTTGTCCACACGACAACTAACTGATTGACAGCGTCCACTGGTCTTTCTTCAGGAACAGAATTGAAAGAAAAAACCAGCCAGATCATCACTCACAAACGTAAAGGTGGTTACTGCGGGAACGGCATCAAAGTATCGATGTAGGCGAGCCCAAATAGCGGGGGTGTTAAATTGTCCCATGGTCTGTGGTCACATCTGTTGCAGAGCCTAAGGCACGGCTGAAAACAGCTGGTCAAAGTGCGACCTTTGGTCCATTCAAAGGCACAAAGCCATATGGTAAAGACTCTGGCTTACGGTATAGTGTTTCAACAAATAGGGCGAAAACGCCGAAGGAGTCTTTCAAACAGGTCAGTGCCAGACCAGGTGTTCAAAGCACCTTGAAAGCACAATCTTGGACAAAAGATGGTGATGCAAAATTGTTCATGATGGCCATGATGAATCACCGGATCCCGAGGAAGAACTCGAAGAAGGTGTTGAACTAAATGAAGAAACAACCGAGGTGTAGATTCCAACTGGGCAAGGTGTTGTTTCCATTGCTGACATAGGAATCGACAAAAATCTTCAATCAGTTCCGGTCGAAGGCCATGATGGTTTAGCCACTGCCGAAAGGCGGCAATAGCCCATTCAAAATATGGTGACTTGGCTCCAAAAAAAGTAGAGTTAGCATTGACGTCATGAAGCAATCTTAATCTAGAAAGCAAGTGTGAAGAGGACACCGAAGTAGTCCCACAACAGCACGGTACTGAGTCAATATCTGATGTCGTCCAGCGATGTTCCAAATTGCGATGAATGTGCAAAAAATCCTGAAAAGTGAGAAGAGCAGCTTCACAGACTCGATGGGTAGGCAAACAAAAATAGAATAGCCAATTCTTTTGATCGCATCATTATTTTTTGCAGCCGTGACACTGGTTGTTTCTTGAAATCAATGTGTGCCAGAAACAGAAGCGAAAACCGAAAGTTCTTCTTAGCACAGGTGCATTTTGAAACTGCAATGCCTTTGAAATTAAACTGCAGACACGGGATCGGCCAGGCTCTTCCATATGTGCAGCTAAAACGATATAGTACATACATTTCAAGAATGTCGAATTCACCCGATCTGATGCGCATGGCAGTCTCGTAGCAGCGGCTCGGGAACTTTGAGTTCCCGAATTGCGACCGTTTGCAAACCTCACCGGTCCCTCGGTCAAAAGGCTTAGGGTTAGGAGCTTTCGCAGCCGAAACAGTTCGCTTGCGTGTGCATGAGTGGACTATGGCCGCAAATATGATTTCAAGATATGTTGAGGTAGCGTGTAGGCTTCTTCAGAATCTATGACCGGCCAACTCCGAACAAATCACCAGTTTCAAGCAACAGACCAACATGTGGCAAACAAAAAAGAGCCCTTGCCAGATCTTGCTCGCAATTCCTGTTGAAACAAAATGCTTTCTGTGTCTGGCTTTTTCTGTTGCCTCCTATCCTTGTGAAAGCTCCTAAGCCTCTGGAACAAGGTTTTCGCGGGATCTATTGGGAGTGGGAAGGCGAAGTCTGGTTGCTACTAGGTAAAAGCATCAAAGCCGCAAGCAGCACCCTGGCAACTGGAAGTCTTACTGTATGAAACTGCTCATTCCAGATTTGCATGTTGCCCCACGGCAAGGATGGGACATGACCTCATAGGTGTCAACGGCCTTTGTGCATGATCGGCATGGTGGACGTGATGTGCTGACAAGTGTATGCGCACGAGACCCACGATATAAGCTCCCCCATATTTGAGCAGAGATGGGTCACGGCGAATCGTCGGGCGCCAGGACGAGTCAAACGACGGTCAGCCCCGAGAAGTTTGAAGTGCTGAGCCGTCTCAAATCCAGCCCCACGGATGACATCGACCGAACGAGCCAAATAGATCTCGTTGATTAGATGGCTGTAAATGGTGCAGTGTTGGGGCTCAGGAGTGCAGACATGTTCGAGATTTCTTGATATCCTTTGCGGTCAAAGGGGAACAACCACCTCTTTCACCTGTGTGGCGAGGGTGACTGGAACGTTCGACATTTCAGATCTTGTTTACCAGTAGCTCCAACTGATTGTGCTATGGATGCATTTGCACTTTTTAAACATGATGTAAGCTTCGCTAGTCTTAGAATTAGAACATGCGTCCATCCTTACGATGGACACAAGCCCCTTAGTTAGCTCTATGCATCGGCCCTCTCCACCTTGGTGGACCGTCGCTGCTGTGTCCCATTCCGTCCAAGCAGCAAAGCACGAGCTTTGTTCTTTGCAACACTCGAAGCCGCATCCAGGATGCGGGCTGTTTCATCATTGTCAAATTCTGTGTCTGACGACTTATATGCTTGGGCGAACAAGATTCTGAATCAGGGAAATGAAGTTTTGATGCCGCAAGCTTACATTAGATCGAGCTGTGGCATGTGCAAAAGCTACATGAGTTCTAGACTGACAATGACTACGAGGTGTCTGACTTCGATGGGTTTGATCTTGTTGAGCTACACACCGAGCAATCAAATTTACAGCTTTTGCTGTCACTTCTACTTCTCGAGCAAACGGCTGACCAGCACTATCTGAAATCACAGAGCTTGCACGAAGTCGTGGTGGGGGTGCTTGCAAATTCGGAATCACATTCTGACTTGATCCAAGCGGTCGAGCTGAACCTGAAGTCAAGGAATGAATTACCAATTGCGGTGGTTCTGTCGGACCTTTTGAAATCTTCTGGTCTGCCAGAGGTGGCTTGGGATGTGGCCGTGAAAAATCACCAGCGAAGAAGTAAATG